CGAATCAATTTTCAATATACTTTTTTAGTATTCCTGAGACATCTCTTCTACAACCTGATCGAACGCTGCTATGTTACGTTGATGAAAATTGTACTGTACTCCTTTCAGCGATTTTTTATTTTAAGAAATAAAAAGAAGGAATGTAAGCATAGTAAACCAAAAAGTTCTCGCTTTGAGCGCTGCGTGCGCGAGGCACCTTGTCATGGTGAAATAGAACACCGCAGAGCCCCATGTTCGATCACTTGTTGCTCACAGTGGTGAACACTTCTGGAAATCATTTTGCAGAACTATTCGGCATTGATGCTACTTAAATTTCGTAAAGGAATTGGCACGACATACCTGTCTAAGTGAAAAAAAAAACTAACCATCAAAACCTTCCCTCTGCTTCTCGATCGTTTCACTTCGCGCTGGTTTATTTTGAAATAACCAAAGAGTCGAGTTCTTGCTTTGTCTCTCAAAGTTAGTCAACCGTGCCGAAATTTGTGACACCATGTACACGGTTGCGAAGAGCCTTTATCTATGAATGCCATTTGAGTCTAGGAAGCTTTTAGGTGATATTTAAATGTGTAAAAAAATATTGCGCAATAAAGTTTCTAAAAATAGCTCGTAAAAAAATGTGGAGGAAAATTTGAAATTGGAGCATTTGTATTTTTACTTAAGTTGTTAAAGAAAATAACGGAGCTTTTGGCGGGAACTTGACTGCAGGCAGATAGCTATTCCTGTATTATCGTTTAATTAATGGTTCGAGGTGGTTTTTAATTCGTATAAGTGATGCAATTTATGTTTGCGCATGTGAACTATTAGTGTAAACAATGAAACACGTGCTCCGATGGTGATGTGATCCCCAAGATTTTGTAGCTGCATAGGCGCCTTGAGATATGCCGTCATAATCTTTTTTTTATAGAAGAGGGGGCAAACGAGCATGCGGTTCACCTGATGGCAAGTGACTACCGCCGCCCATGAACAACCGCGACACCAGGGGAATAGCAAATGCGTTGCCGGCCTTTTAGAAAGGTGTAAGCTCTTTTCTTGAAGGTCTCTAAGTCGTATCGATCTGGAAAAATCGTAATCGTAATCGTAAACAATTCCACAGAGAAGTTGTACGCGGAAGAAAACACCTAGTAAAACGTACAGTAGTGAACCGCCAAGCATCCAGATGGTGAGGATGGTATCGTGAATTTCGACGCGATGTGCGTTTGTGAAATTCGGCGGCTGGAATTAATCCGAACAATTCCTCAGAGCACTTCCCGTGGTAGATTCGGTAGAAAATGCAAAAAGATGCAACATATCTACGCAGCGCCAGTGTATCGAACCCATCAGACAGAACTCGGTCGTCGACGATTCGAACCGCTCTGCGCTGGATGCGGTCAAGTGGAAGGAGCTGGCACTGGGGTGCCCCGGCCCAGTGATGAGAACAGTATTCCATGCGAGGCCGACCTTGCGCCTTGTAAAGTAGCAAGCGATGTGCCAGCATGAAATACTGTCTCGCTCTGCTGAACACGCATCAACATTTTGTGAAGAAGTTTAAAAAGGTTTTTGTTACTTGGCATTGGCAAAAGTACATCCGTTTGAGTCCATTACCAAAGAAATAAATTATTACTGGCCAGTGACACTGTCTTCTTATACAAAAAAAAAAAAAATTCCCAAAAATTTCAGCGTGGCTTGTTTTATGTTATTTATACCCATAAATTTTAAAACAAAAATATATTCCTCGTCTGTAAAAAATTATGGGACGAAAAAAACTAATTTATTCGTTCGATTGTGGGACGAATAGCAACTTCCTTTGTTGAAAGTAAAAAATAAAAATATATAAAAATAATATTAATGATCGTATAGAAATACCACGCTATATAATATGATTTATATGATAGTATGATTTATAAGTTATCAAAGAATGTGCGTTTATTGAACAGTATCAATGCTTTGTTAGAAAAACGTCTATGTACGATTAAATTATGATTTTTTAGGTTAGGAAAAGCCTTGCTATAATTGTTTATGTTAATACGTAATCATCGAAACTAAGTCACTAAAAGTGTCACAATATATTATCAAAATTATTTTGCGTTGTAGCATATTATTCGCAAATGAATATAATTTTAATTGTTTAGGTTTTGTTGTACCTTATAGTTTTAAGAGTCAAAGCACGAGAGGACAGCTAAGTTGTAAATAGTTTGTTACCATTTTACATTAAATCCGAGATCAACGTGACTATAATATTGTCTTATCGAACAATCACTGACTGAGAAATTGACTGCTTGAGATGTAATGATAGGGTAAATGTCGACTTCAAATGAGAGAAAATATTTTTCTAAACTTTTTAACGTCTCACTTTGACATTTTGACGTAGTGTTCATTAATATACCTTTACTCTTCTTGTTACGCTCCTTTGATCATATAAAATTATATCTCAATCCAAATAGTCTGTTATCTATTTCAATTAGCGGACTCTACAAACTATTGAGTTCGCTAATTTCAATGATTAATGTATTTACTTTAGATAGTAGTTATATGTTATAAAGTTGGGGGATACAGTTAAGATATTTGCGAATGATAATTAACTTTCATATTTTATTAACAGAGTAGAGATCTTAATATGGCATTGAGTATTATAAAACTTAAAATAGAGAAATATTTGAACCCCTTAATACAGATTTTTGAATATTTAAAACCCCTATTTTATAGTACTCCGAAATATACCAAATACATTATAGTTGATCAGTAGACGTTTGATATTGAAGTGTTCATGAAAGTGATAGATGAAAATATTTTTGTATATTTATGTAATATCTATAGATTCCCTATTGTCTTATATGTAACTAAATATTCTTTAGACTTCTACAACAGCGTAATTTTAACAGCGGCCTATATCGCAAAACATTTTCTAATTTATCAATTATGATCATTCAAAGCAAGTTTTATAATAATGTATAAATAGTATTTTTAGATTTTCAATCATAATTTTAAATGATGTTACTTCATTCAATAGAGAATATATTGACGACCATTGAATTAGTATAAGAAAAATAACAAGCACTTTAAAATCATTGTAACACAGTAGAACCGTTTTTAACTTACTGAAAGAATCTCTTGCTCGTTCACATTATTATTTAAACGTTAGTATTATTTTAGTTACATTGTATTGGTTTTATAATATATCCTTCTATCGTTTATGATGCTTTAACACGTGTTTTCACACATTTTTTGATACTTGTAGCTAGATAATAAATTACAAATAGTTCTGTTTTTTCCGTCGTGCCTATTTATATAAAGATTGTTGATTAATTTCAGAGTATTAGTTGATAATGATTAAAGTAAGATTATACTACACTACGACGATTAATGGGACATCAAAATTATAAAAATACCATTCCACTTGTTATTCTTCCACTTCTCTTATGTTTAATTTGTCGAAGCATTTTGCATAGATTATGTTATTACTATGTTACGAGATTTGTAGATAACTTAGTACAAAGTGGAGTAAACTTCGTTTACAATACTGCACATCGTGGCCATTAACTTGAATATAATGAAGTGAAAATACTAGGATTTTAAGTGATTTACTCTGCGTAATAAAGTTGACGATGATAGATACTGTATCAGATTTTGGTAATTTACCTAGAGCAATAAAAGTGTTTTAGGAATTGTTGTTTTATTTCCCCATCATCATCATCATCATTACAGCCCTTCTCAAGTCCATTGCTGAACATAGGCCTGCTCCAAGGAACGCCACAAAGCACGGCCCGAGCCACCTGCATCCATTAACTTCCTGCATGTCACTCCATCTATATACAGGGTTACTTTTTTAAATAACCGGCCAAATTTGCAGAGGTTTAGAATAAGTAATATAAGCAAATGGTTAAAAAAAATCTCAATCACTCTATCCTTTTTATCTTTTAAATTCATAATGCGTATTAATCATTTACGTATATATGTGGGGTAATGCATTATTTTAACTGATATTACTGCGCACGCACACATTTATAAGGGTTGATCGGTAGGCAAAAACGTTGCCCATAAGTCACATTCCATTTGGGATAATTTTAAATAAAAGTAGAAGCCTTATTATAAGGTATTAGAGTCTATCCCTTAACTCTAATACCTTGAGCCTATGATTAAAAATTATAGTAAACTTATTTTTATGAGAAATAACTCTAATATTTCTATACGTGGTAGAGCCATGCTGCAGCTATATTAATAATGTAATTGTAGCACGAATTGAACGAACAAACGGGCACACAGTCCACCTGATGGTAAGTAGTTGCTGTGGCCCATAGACACCTACATCTATCCTCAATTACGAATCAAAATGCAGATGCGTTGTCACCCGTAAGGACTAAAATGGAATGCCTCGTTTCCAGTGAAAAGGATTTCCAGTTCTCTACACTCACCATATAAAACACAGCAGTTGCTATTTTACGCAGGTATTCTGTGAGAACGTAGTCCGTTCCGACCCATTCGTGCTACAACTACACCAGTAATATAGCTGCAGCACGGCACTATACCACGTAATATAGGAGTGGTTAGCGGAAGACCGTTCTTTGATAAATGATATGTTTTTAAAGTAAATAAGTAGGCATGTGGAATTTATTTTGGGAAACGTTAAATTTTAAACCTCTAATGTATTACAAAGATATGTACATTGTACATTAAGTGTTAAAATACGAAAACATATAATTATGTTTTAACTGAAATGACGGAAGGTGCTGGTACAAAATGTATTCACGCAACAAAGTACAATGTCATTACGAATGAACGCATTGAACCCGTTATTAATTGCTGATCATAGCGATCGCTGGAAAATAATTATCAGGTCCGTGGAGCGTGAACGCTTTCGTTTTCGCAGGATAGCCGGAGTCACGTATTTGCTAGTTGTTGGAACCACCACTAGTAATTCGAGAGCACACCTTAACTTCCCAGCTCAGTTGCTAAGTGGACATCGACTATTCTCAACGCCTCCTAACGATGTTCATAGCATATTGTTTTTTACATACGTGATCAAAATGTACGACAAAATAGTACTTATTTTACTTATTGTTTCGTTAACTTATGAAAACGCCGACGGAAGAAAATTGAAGAGAATTCAAAAACCAAAAGACACGGATAATACGGACCCACAACCTAATGTTTTAACATATTCCACTTTCGGCTTTAACGACGTTGCGTCCTACGATGGGCTTGTTCCAACTTCACCAGATAATGCAAATTATCTCACCAAATACAAGGAGACGTCAGAGAAATTATACGCTCCGGCGTTTCCGTCGGCCCTGGATTCAGATTTTTCAAGTAATTCTCAGTCTTTAAACGAAGAGGCGACTGGTGGTGGTGATGGTGCAACAGCAACAAGTATGTCACAATTTAATTCTGTAAATAATTACAGTCCTTCTAATTTTAATTCAGAGAACAATTCAAATAAGAACTCGGTCTCTGATGTAGATTATAGTCAAAATTTAGCAGAAAATAATAGGATAGTTTATGGGTCAAAGATAAGCACTGCGAATAAAAATATGTCATCTAACTGGTATAATGATGCAGAACCTAATAATGGAATATTGTATCAAAATGAACATAAATTTTCAACTTACCGTGAATCCCCTTTGTTCAATGGAAACCTACCATCGTACAGTGAGTCCAATAATAATAATAATAATCAATTTATTAACAATTACGCCACAACCTATCCCACGACGGAAATAGAAAATTCAATGAATGCCGAAAATATGCAAATCTTATCAAAGTTTCCTAATGTCGGGGATTTCACGAATACTAAATCATATGATACATTTGAGTCGGAAAATAAACATTCGTTGGCTTCACCAAAACCATTGGATACATTCAACTCTATAGTAAATAGCGTAGATGACGATAGGCTTAGTAACTATTACGAAGATCATAGTAATAAATTAATAAAAATACCTACAAGTTTTAAAAATACGTTTGGAAACAAAGGAATTGAGAATATTATTTCATCGAAACAACACTTAAACACTAATCAGGGATATTTAAGTAAACATTCAAATGTCAAAAATAAAAAGTTAAATAATGACTATAAAGATGAACAGAAAACTAATCCTTGGATCCTTGAAAATGGCAATAATTATGTTCACAAACGCATTAAAAACGATAAGAACGGTTATGAATATGCGACAAATTTTAGCAGTACAAATTTCAAGTTTGATGAAAATGAACCCAAAAACCATTTCAATTCTAATGTCGATGAAATTATCCCATCAATTAGTAATATTAACGATTTTCCAAATTACAAGTTTCCTGAAACCGATTATTTAAATTTCAAAGCTCATCCCAGCTTCAAAACTACGTTTAACAGTGACAACAAAGATGAATTATCTTACAATATAGGAAATAAATATAACCCATCCTCTGATTACTTAAACAAATTTAAAAATGTGTACAGTAATGTACCGACTTCTGCAACAAATTGGGGAAATATTTTTAAATCCACGGACTACTCATCTTATAAAAAACATATTCCGAAACCTCAATTTAACGATGAGGAAAACTTTGACATTCTGCACTTACCAAAGAGACAAAATAATTATAGACATGTTAAAGATTCATCCGAAAGTATTGCGAACGATAGGCCGATATACAATAACAAGCCGAATATATTTCAAAGGCCGAAAAATGAATGGAGTAACGAAAATTTTAATAACAGATTCAAATCAGAAGAGGATTTATTAGGGCTGAGAAACCATGATACTTCACACCCCACTTATCTGCCATCATTTCAATACCCTGACAACCCTGAGGAAAGTTTCAAAACTGTCGTAGAAAAATGGAGAGAGAACTATATTAAATCAAAGTATCATGATACTCCAACGTATGATTATGAAGCCTCCGAAGTAAAACACTTTCAGGCATCAAATCCCTATCAAGTAAGTAGAACATATTTTGCAGGCAATTTAAGTTAAAGATAAAGTATTTACATAGCCTAGTAATAGGCTGTGGTATAAATATGATACTTGTCTACGTTTTCTCAATGTTTTTAGCTAGTAAAACAAATGGAGAAGAATGCGGATCGGTGGTTATCGATGCGTGTATTGTGCTAATTTTCTCTCGTCATCTAGGTTATTAACACTACTCATATCAGTTTGAAATCATGAAATTCTATCACAAAAGACATATTTCGATTTCTACAGACATCATATTTATATGGTTGCTTTGAGTACAATTGTTACCATTTTCTGGTTTGTATTTAATAAATAGTGAAAGATATAATAAAATAAATATGATGAACATGTTTTGAGGCCATAATAGAGTTATGTAGGTCACTCAATAAGTTTTGAGATTTACAAAAAGTATTCTAGATACTATTAATATTTATTTTACATCTTTTCAAAATATTCTCCATCATGCTCTATACAAAGTTCCATTCGCCTAAATCAAATCTGAAAACACTTTTGCCAGTCTTGATCTGACAGGTCGGAAATCGCTTCTTCTATATTATATTTTTTCTTTGACTCTTGGGAACAAAAAGAAATCACAAGGAGCTAAGTCAGGGCTGTATGATAGGTGACTTAGAGTTTCAACACCAAATTCCTCAATAAATGCTTTTGTTCGAAGGGAGGTATGTGAAGAGGCGTTATCGTGATGCAGTATGATTTTCCGAAGCCCGGTCTTTGGTCTTCTTTCTCGCACAGCTTGAAAAGCTTTGGGTAATACAACTGTAGTATACCATTCAGAGTTGACTGACCTACAATTTTCCAGCATTGAAGTCTAAAAAAACTAGCCACCATTTTTGGCGACGTTGCGAGGTCTTTGCAGTTTTGTCGGTAACTGTCCTTCTGAATAGACCCATACCGATGATTGCCTTTTATTTTCCGGACCATATTGATAGATCCATGTCTCGTCACCAGTAACGATTTCACGCCTAGATGCCCCGTTTTCAAAACGTAGACGCATTTCATGGCACCAATCCACACGAGTCTGTTTTTCGCTTTCGGAGAGCAAACAAGGGATAATAGAACTTTGTTTTTTTTTTAATAGCTTATGGAGTTCTATTTTTAAATAAATTTGCTTTTTAGAAACATATAACACGGGTGCGTTCCATTTTTAAATTACGATCATCTCAAAACTTATTGAGTGTCTTACGTAATTATTATTCACACACCAACCTTAATTATTATTAGGTATGTAAAAAGTAGATAATAGCTCGGTAGGCTTACAAGGGTTTTGTGAAAAGTTAATTATTATGTAAAATTTTTTAATAAAAGATTATGCGAATGTCAGGATTTGCGCCTGTATTGTCGAGTTTACATACATAAATTGCGCAAGGACAAACATCCAGACCAGGAAAAATATTTGTAGGGCATACATAAATACCTGCTCTTGTTCCGGGTGAGATTCGAACCAGACTTCGAACTCAATGCAACATATCTGTGCCAATTAGCCGTTTGTTAATAATATGTAATAATATCTATATTTTCCTATGATTACGGTTTTCTGTTCCTATATTATATTCTGGGTAAATGAAGTAAGCCTCTCCTACATTGACACTATTAAATAAATAAATAATAAATCATTTATTCTGGACCAAACCTTTAGTACATTTTTCACACCCACCAAACTGCGTAACAGTTTGTCGGCGTATGAGATTATTATTACTGTCAAGCGTATGAGAGCATTTAAAATATAAAATTAAAATTAATTATTATTAGATTATTAAGTAGTAAACATATAATAAAAAATAACAAAGGACGATGATGTTCCACTTAAGTCCTATTAAGGTTGTCCTCTGTAATATCAAAAGTCGGTCATCGAATAAAATGTATTGTGTTGAAACCACTGTGTGATTTTGTGTACAATCAGATTATGCAAAACCATTTTGTTGCTGTATTTTATAATTTATAGCTAGTGTTTAGATTACCTGGGCCACTCATGGGTCCTACGTTCTAAGTCCAGCCGGTGCCAACATTTGTTTTAAAACAAAAATTGTTGCTTTTCGGATAATTTGATTGTGTGGTGACATTGTATCCTAATCTACCTCAGTACCTCCAATGTTGTAGGTTATGACGACGACGAGTGCGTGCTCCTGTGCTATTGCATACTTTAATTTAGGGCACTTTAAATATCTTGCCATGCGCAGTTGTTGACTCCCAATTAGGTATACGAAACATATCGCCGTGACCTCAAAACTAATCAGGAGTTAATTATAATTATCGTCATCAACATCATCATCATCATTTATGGGAAAAGATATTTTCCAATTTTTGATTTAGGCTTTACGTTATTTTTTAACAGCAAACTGCAAAAGGTTAACCGTTTCGCTGTCCCGTGCAGTACATATAGGTCATTGCTATTGTCTTACTATTGTGTCTGAAAACCGGACAGTGAAAGTGTTAAGGTATGTTTGAAGATTAAAGAACGACATATTTTTATTAGCATTTATATATTTATTTATTTTATTACGTTTAATGTAAGTTTATCGTTTTGTTTATATATTAATACCCCAAAAATAAATAATGACAAATAGATTTCCTACCTTTAAACATTGCCCTATTCGTTTAGCGGTATATATTTACCATGCTCTTGTGGGTATAGGTAAATAGTGAGAGAAAACTAAGGACCTGAAAAGTTTGGATAAATATAGTTCCAATATCAGCTCAATAATGAGAGATGACCGATGCAGAGACGTCTTTTTGCATCTTTATATCTGTAAGGGTCATTTACTAGATGGGTAGAGTTATACCACAAGAATATAACAAATATATACACTTATGACAAATATCAACATTAGGAAGCTTTAAAATGTCCCATGATCGCTTTGCATGACAATATGAATTTTTTTTTCATTGGATGCTTTATAGTTTTTCTTAATTCACGGCTTCATTTCATAACTGCATACTTTAGCTTTACGTCTATTGCACAGCATGGCTTAGTAGTCCTTCCTCCATGTAATAATCATTTTGCAGATACAACCGCCACATCCGGTGATAGTACCAGTACCGCAACCTTATCCGGTACGAGTTCCAGTAGCAAAGCCGGTCGCAGTGCCGGTCATGCGGGAGATAACCGTACCGATAGAGAAGCCAGTATTGTATCCTGTCTACAAAAAGGTTCCATATCGCATTGAGAAACTGGTGCCCGTACCTGTTGAAAAACAGGTAGTCTGTGCAATGTTCTTACATACGTAACCTGAAACTTTAATCTCAAGCTATATTTTTTGCGTTTGTGTTTGGACTTGGATTACTAGAAAAAAGTGAAAATAAGGAAACACTTTACAAATTGCTAGTAACTAATTTTAAATTTGCATTGCCGGAATGGAGAGTAAGGCATAATATTATGTTTATCGTTGGTATTATGTATGTATGTACTTGTGTTTGTATGTTGCTTTGTGTCCTTCTGTAGCTTTAAGAGCTTGATAGATTTTGAAGTGCGAGGTGTCTAACATTAAATGTAGTTTATTTTAAAAGGGTTTTTACAGCTTTAACCTATCATAGTATCAATAAGCCACGTTTTGTAATGAGACCGTTTGAGCTTATTATTTTTACTGTAGACTTGTGAATTTAGTATCGGCGCATTAATTTATTTATAGTTTTTAGATTTAGATTACCTACTGCACACATTTATGCACTTATTCGCACAGTTTAATTAAGATTTTTTTTTAAATTTAGAATTGTTGAAAGTTCCTTCAAATCACCGGTCAAAATCTACGCCAGTACGAAAATCAAGACTTTCTCGGGCAAGAAACTCTGGGATCTTTTTTGTCAAATATATAAAAGGCCCTAGAGTATCAAACAGATATTTTTCTCCATGGAGGATATAAGTCTATGGGCCACAGCATTCACTTACTGTCAGGTGGACTGTGTGCTCGTATGTCAGTCTTATTCTATAATATAAAAAAGCAATTTTTTCGATATGCGCTCCCTACTGAAGCTTGGAATAAAAGGAATTCCGTGAAACACTTCCAAAATTCAAATTGGTTGAAACAATATCCAGTATTTGATTAGGCCAGTATGTGCAAAATACTTTCTCTTACCTACATTTATATACTTTAAATAATAATAAGGTGTTATCATCAAATATAATTATCTAAGATATTTTTGTACATTACATGAAAGATCCTGTGTGTAGACCAAGTATCGATCGCTGAGGAACACCCACTTTCATCACACGTCTTGAGAATACTGTTCTGTTGGACACAACCTTTTGCCCTCGGTTTAAGAGATATGACGATAGGAACTAGAGCGCGTTACGAATGTCCTAGTATTTAAATTTATAAATGAATGTTTTATGATCACACAACCAAATACCTTTTAAAGATCAAAGAATACATCGACAGTGTCATGGTACTCTTCTAATTTACTGCATTTACTTAATGTATCTAATTTTTACGAGTATTTAGGCTTGAACCGAAAATTATGATTAAATTAAAGGTTCCAGTACCAGTAGTAAAACCGTATCCGGTACCAGTTCCTCAAGTTAAGCCGGTGTTCCATCACTCACGGCCCTATCGCGACGAGTTCGACTTGGAACAGGACTTTGATGACGGCGATGAATACCTTCCGCGACCCGAAAGCAGTAAAGTTGTGTATAATAAAAGACCTAAAAGGTAAGATCTGATGACAATATAACATCACATTGTCTAACTCTAATATATATTTACACAATAACCACTTTTCAAAGTCAAAATCAAAAGTTTTTATTTATTTTGTACTTGTGTAAAAATCTCATGAACGTTAAAATTTACACCGGTTCAAAAAGCAAGACGCCAGAGAAGAAGTCACTGTTTATTTATGTTTAAAATATTAGGGGTTAGTGATTTATGTTTGATTTCAGGAATTTTATTCAAGAAACATTTCGTAGACTAGAAAAATTAAACAATTTTAAGGCTTCATAAATTTGTTTTATAAGGTTTTCACGACCTTCTTGCACTCTAGAAATGTTTTTTGTTTTAAATATGAAATTGGGTATTAGTGAGTTAGTGGTTAGTTTTATGTGGAAGAGCCACTCTGCAGCTGTATTATGGCTGTAGCACGAATGAGTCGCTCGACCGGGGAAGGACCATACTCTCAGAGAATACCAGCGTAAAATAGCAGCTTAATGTTGCTGTATTTTGTATGGTGAATGGAGAGAATTGAACATCTGAAGACACCGAATCAGTTCACACATTGACGTGACGTAACGCTCAGTTCCTTATACGTTGTTCTACGAAAGTAAATGCAACGCGAAGCGGTGCTGAGCACCGTGATAATATTAACAAATTATTGCAGTTTGAAGCCGCGCTGTGTCCTTAGGGTGCTTGTGCACTAGACGGTAATTTTACTATCCTCAATGTCACGCCAGTAGACTCGCCCATTGGCGGTAAAAACACGGATTAACACTTCTGCACTACGCGTTAGGTATGGGTGCTATTTAACGTCGCTATTTACAGTAACTAGTCTCTGACCACGTAGTCGAATAACTAGTTTCGAATCGAACAATAAACTAGTGATTTTTAAAAACACGTGATTTTCGTAAGTAGTTACATTACGATGCAGTGAATAAATGAATAAAGGAAACAAAACAAAAGTTATGCTGCGAGCTTATTGTGCAAGTTGTATTTTCGCTCATATATTTAACAAGTGGTAAAATTAAACATTTTGTACAATCAACTTCAATGTAAATAAAATGAGAACATCATCAATGTAGTCGAAGTCAATTAAATAGACATTATTAAAGATAACTCAAAAACTACTGGTCAGATCTTGATCAAATTTATATGAGACAACTTGAAAAGTAGCCTTCAAATAAAAAAAAGAATCATCAAAATCAACACACATAAAAAATACAGTCGAATTGAGAACCTCCTCCTTTTTCTGAAGTCGGTTGAGAAAAGTATAAAAAAACAAAAAAGTATTGTTAAAATATTGAAATAGTATAAATAGACCAAAATCTGAAAAGCAATAAAAAAAACAATGTACAGAAGTGCATAAAAATTAAGTTTGTTGCAATTTAATCATTTTTATTTCATCTCATATTATACAATCAAATTAACTTAATACACCTGTATTAATTTCATTTGACTATAATAATATATGGTTTTATAATTAAAATGTAAAATCAAAACATGCGTTGAATAATACTAACAAATACATTTAATGCAGTAAGTCTTAATTTAGTAAGTATTACGTTTATGATGTACTCTCAACTGTAACGTAGTCACTCAATGTTTTGTTTCGTTAGAAACTGAAATACTTCGGCGGGATCACCTTGCCTACATAACAACACTTTTAGACCCTTTTAAGTGGATTGATCAATATCACAAGCTCAAAATAATAACCAGATTATTATCTAAAACGTTATAATAAAAATTACCTTACCCTTACTCTATTTTTGTGGAAATCGCCTATTTTCCCACCAATAAATTTAAATCGGGTAAAGACTAAAAAAAAAGAATATTCAGAATTTGTTCACACTTGGATTGTAAAAAAAATGAAAATTAGCGAAGGTAATTTTACCGTGTAGTGCACGAGCAGTCTTTAGCGTTCAGTTTGCTCAGTGCTCACGTAGAATGCCAAATTAGATAGGAACTGTTTCGTGAAAAGTGGCCTGCGCAAGCGGCAATGCATGTCGCATCGCTCGATGGACAACAACACATCGTCGATAGAAAGCATCCAATCTAAACGTTGTAAACCTCAATATATATTCATAAGAAAAATCTCAAGAAATCTCACAGAAATATGTACATTCTTACTTAGTAAATAAATTACATTTCTTTTATAAAATATGGGTTACGTAGCACCTATTTTTAATATGAGCTGATCGATATGTCCAAGCATTTCATTATCATGAAAATTTTATTAAGAAGTTTTATATATTTATGAGACTAAGCGAATAAATATATGTCTGCAATATTTTAAAATTGCGAGCAAATTATGTCACTAAAGCGAAGTAATGTAAAATGCGTGTATTTACCACATGGAACATTCCGACGGAATTCAAAGACTTTTTCATAAGAATTTGTTTTCAGTCCACGCCATCGTTCACGAAGACCATCACGTATGCCCTACCAAGAACGCAGTAAGGGAAAGAGACCGCAGCGTCGACCGAACGGCTCCCGCGAGAAGGATTATCATCGCTATGTGCAATCTCCTCTAACAGATTACCAGCGCTTCAGGAACCACGATGGCGACTTTGATGACGAACGTGAATACAAAGACTACTTACTTTACTGTAAAAGAACCGGTAATTGTTAGATTAAAACATGTTTTCAATTATATTGTTTTGTAATTGTTTTCCATACGAACTTTTGTTAATACTGGAACATATAGTGTACTATTCTGGGCTTAAAGTTCTATCCTTTTTTGATTTCGTAATAATAAGCAGTTCGGGAGATGTAAGAAAGCAGATGAACATATGTGTACATAGCTTGCTAAAATGATACCTAACCCTATTTTTGACTTTGTAGTCGGACAAATAATCACTATCAAAGATTATAAATTTTTTATTCGAATTGGAATCGGACTTTAGCATTTTGACTTGTGTGACAATTTTTTTTATAATATTAGATTGTACGACGTCCGACGTACGATTGTACGACGACTTCAGTAACAGTCCTCGAAATGGTATATGACTGCATCCCATCAAAACCGACTTAAAACAAACAAAAATGTTCTATCACCCCCGAGCCCCGAAATATAATAAAATGTTATCAAAAGTTTTCAAGTCGACCTAGTTCAATGATATTTTACGTTATATATAATATACTAGCCGGCCAGGCAGACGTTGTTCTGCCCTTTTCGACGACCCTTCATTTAAAAATCCTTAAATTTGTAATAAAAAAATATTGAGTGGTTCTTATCAGGATAAGAACTATCCTATCTCTCAAGTTGGACCAAACTGCACAGAGTGTGCAAAATTTCGTTGAAATCAATTCAGTAGTTTAGGAGTTCATCGCGGACAAACAACGTGACACGTAATTTTTATATATAAAGATTACACGCATGGACAAATTTTGAGGAACGCAAGAAAAAGTATATATACAACAAAATATCATGGATATTTGTGACAATTAAGTTTTTTAATTTCGATTTTGCTTATTATTAATTAATTTAAAATTGCAGTCGTCGAAAAAACAAACGACAAAAATTTACCAAATTAAGAAAATAAGACACAAATTTTACATAAAAGAAACATTTTTGTACTTAGTTTTTTTTCATAAATGCTTAGGAAGGAACTTAATGTTAAATAAAAATTTAATTTTCGAGATTGCGAGCAAAATTAACACAGTCTTTTCCCCTTCAAACTTTTTGAAGCTTTGTTCTGACCTCAGAAAAAGTTAAGGTCCGGTTTTTAAGCACGCTGGTAACGATAAAGTAGTCATCTCTAACCACAATTATCCGTTTACGTACCTGTCCTGCAAGTCTAGTATACTGTCCGGTCTGCCCATACTTCTTGACAACTCGGTGTACCACAGGTTTGATACTCCTAATGTTTGAACCACATGTTTTTAGGTGTGCTGAGTTTCAATTAAAGTAACAGCCCAGCAACTTGAGTGGCGTTTTGATCTGGCATTTTCAATTTATTTGCAGTAACAATTCTCAATCAATTTTTCGCAGTATGAAAGAACTCAATATCACTACTTAATTATTACGTAAGTTCAAATTAAATTCGAAAAAAAATATTCCAAAACTTTCCTTTTTTTAATAGCATTAATTAATGCTTGTGGCCAGTACGCTAATTACAACAGAAGAAATTAAATCTTTTTTGCGTTCCTCTAAATTTGTCCATGAGTGTATAATATTACACTCGTTGTACTGGATTTTCCTCGAATGCCTTCAAAATGGATTATTATTTTTTTGGCCGCAAGTTTATTCTGTGTGGAAAAGTATACGAACGTCATTATGTTGATGAACGTATTATAGTCGCGTGACTGTCCTCAGTTCGCAATCATTCTTGGTTTTAATTCTACCTGCTAAAAATTTGTAAATATTTGATTACGTTTCTTTATAGCATTTAAATTAGGTTAGTTTAGTTGTTAAAATTTAATTGAATATTGTTATTATATGATTTTGTTAATTTTTTAAGTAAACTGTTATAAATATATCATGTATTTTTATTACAAACATATTGCTAACTTTTTCTCACTTTTATATGATACAAAACAAGAGAAAAGAAGATAATTCTCATAATCCTTATTATTTTCATAATTCTTCATTGACTTACAATCCCTAAAATCCCATTGCTAAACACAGGCCTTCCACGAGGAATGCCAAACTTCTGAGCCACCTGTACCAACGACTTTCCGATTGTCTTACCAGGACGTTACTACATCTAGTGGATATCTAATCACCTACTCTCACCTAAACTTAACCTTATTGTATATCATCAAAACGAGACTGACGTAACATAATATACAAACACAATTGAAGAGAGGCGTGTGCTTTTAGTTGGTTCTTTATTTCATTTTGCTGTGTCACACTTAATTATATAAGTAGGTAATGTGGGTTTGCCTCGAAATAATTTTAAATGAAACTGGGTTTTACGGATTTTATCGCGTTTATCAATTTATATTACTGACTTTTCCAGTACTTTGTAAAGTACTCGAAATGTCAGCAAGTGCTGTAGCACCCATTGTCACAAGGGGATTGAGGTATTCGAATTTAATATTCGAATTTAATTCGAATACCTCAGTCGAAAGTAATTCGAATGTTGTTAACCACGGGACCACGGCTATCTTCAGTTTAATATTATTAATTTTTAGTTCAATTTACGCAGAAATAACTTATATTATCCTGAAGTCTTACAGTGGTATGCTTCGGCTGGAATTTAATTATATTTATTACCTATAGGATTTTAAGCAGAAATGGTAGCAACCAACCATCTTCTCTATTGAAATTAGGATGTTTTTTTTTTATTTCAATAGCTTCGCAAATAATTCTTGGTAGGAATCGGTGTTATTTTGCGTGAATTTATGTTGTATCAAATCTGAAGTAATGGCGGGGGCGATCCTGTAAGTACGTGTTCACAGACTGACCTTCCAAATAATTTAATAAATTTGCATAAATTAGGTATACCTAATATATACGTGATAGTAATTTTGTTTACATCAAAAAGTTTTGTTCTATCATAATATTTTAAAAGTGTCTTGATTCACGTTAATTCTAAAGTTGGTGCGTATAATTTGCTACCATTGTTAGTTTTTTTAAATATAATTATTATGTCCGTGTTTCAATTTTAATTGTAATACATAAATAAATATAGTATTCTAACGTTTCAGATGTTTAATAAATACATTTAATTTTGTGCATCAGTTAAGATCTATATGAGTGATTAAATACGCAGCGCGAATTGCGCGCGGTTGCGCACGGGCGCACGCTTTTACCAACGCAACGCTCCGATAAGCAACGTACATATCGTGGGTTTACGTGAATTGTTAGGAAATTATCGAAATCATATAGTTACTTGAGGAAAGGTCATTATTTGATTAAAATATTTCAAGTTTTATTATGCCGGCCTCCGTTTTTAGGGTTCCGTACCTCAAAAGGAAAAAACGGAACCCTTATAGGATCACTTTGTTGTCCGTCTGTCTGTCTGTCAAGACCCTTTTTCTCAGGAACGCGTGAAGGTATTATGCTGAAATTCATATCAAATACTCAAGTCTACTGTCCCTTGGAGCTGTGAAAAAAATCAACATTCTAAGCCAACGCAATCAAAAGGTACAGCCGTTTATGCCGCAAATTTTCGACATTCGCAAGGGAAACAAAACCTACAGGGTACTTCCCGTGAACTGAGAATCTTAAAATTTGGTATGAAGCAACGTATTCTAGCATAGATAAAGGAAAAATTGTGAAAATCATAAATTTTTAGTTACATCATATAATAAAAATATTTTTAATAGTTTTAAACTTATATAGTAGTAGTAGTAGTATATACTTTATTGTACACCACACATATACAACGAATAAATACATTACAGAGAAAACTTAATATATACGTATGTACAATAAGGCGGTCTTATCGCTAAAGAGCGATCTCTTCCAGACAACCTTTGGGCTAAAGAGAAACTGGAATTAAGAACAGTAGGAGGTGGTGCGCTTTATGTTACACTTACATACTAATATCTAAATAAACTAAACTATATTTTGTTAAAATACCACAATAATACATAAAAAATAATAATAAAATAAACATACATATTAATAAATAGGTATATATATATATACATATATATATATATAAATATATACACATACATATATATACAAAGATAATAAATATTGCTAGAATTGGTTATCAATAACCACAAAGTGTTAGGTAATGCTTCTTGACGTCACTTTTGAATCTTTTCAAAGTTTGAGCACGTTGAATTTGGAGTGGAAGTTCATTCCATAACCTTATGGCTTGGCTCGTAAAAGAATATTTCATAAATTTTGTTCGAAATGAACATGGTTCTAGAATTAGTTCGCCGGCTGACCGAAGAACTCTATCAGGTCGATCATGACCAAGAAACTTAAAGTTTTCCTTCAAGTAGCTTGGAGTCAAAGGATTGAACAACACACAGTACAAAAGTGATACAGTTTGCAGATTCCGGCGAAAGCGAATGGGTAACCACTTGAGCTGTAAACGATATTCGGATACATGATCATATTTACGCAAACCAAATATGAACCTAATAGCAATATTTTGAATTCGCTCAAGTTTGTTCAGTTGGTCTTCAGTTAAATCGAGATAACTTGCGTCCGCATAATCGAGAATAGAGAGAAGTAAGGATTGTGCTAACATAATCTTAGTGGGAATGGGGAGAAAAGAACGTAAACGACGAAGTAAACCCATAGTAGCAAACACCTTTTTGCTCACGTGTTTTAACTGCTGCGACCACGACAAGGTAGAATCTAGATATATTCCCAGATTTTTTACAGATTTACTGTAGGGTATGACAACGTCATTTAGTGTCACCGAGGGTAGGTTGTTCCAGTCAACTCTGGAGACCATCCCTCCACCACCAATAACTATAGCCTGGGACTTGAACGGATTAATTTTTAGACCATAACGCTGACTCCACTGGTTTATCGGCGCTAGGTCATTGTTGATGGTGGCAACAGCAGAAGGCAGATTTAACAGAGTTGACTGAGTGTAGATTTGGAGATCGTCTGCATACATGTGATAGAGAGAAGTAATATTTTGAGAGATAGAATTAATGAATATAGCAAAAAGTAAAGGAGACAGCACACCACCCTGAGGCACTCCAGCCCGT